CACAGCAAGTCCGCCGTTGGCAGGGGTGGAAGAGGAAGCCGTCTTGCACTGTCTTTTCAGAAAGAGCAGGTGTACAGTCCTCATGAAGAATCTGCCAAGATAAACAAGGTTCCAGGAAGGATTGAACCCTACTAGGAGACTAGTGCAGGGAAACTGCATACACATGCCACAAGTAAGCAGGACCTTCCAAACGGCAAAAGACAAGGAAATGGAAGGCTAGAGAGCTGAATTTGGTAATGGGGGGAGTGCAAGCTACATGTGGGTATGAAGTGGCATCCTGCTAGCTTCTGGAAGTGGCCCTCTGCCCTTCGAGTCGAGCTGAGGATCCATTATCAGCCAGTCTAGCTCAAACTGGAGGTTTACACAGGGTCACAGGTGCAGAGCAGCGTTTTGAAAAGATCTGGGTGAGAGTATCTTCTATTGGACCCACTTCTGTTGGGTGTTGGAATGCACTTCTGCTTAAACCCTGGTTGCTAATAGCTTCCACCGAGCTGGCCAGTTCCGGGACCGCCCCTCTCCAGCCTGATGCTGTGTGCAGCTGAGCCATTTCCACTTTGAAATGAGGAAAGGCCCTTCATGTGGAGTCCTGGTCCCCTTTGACTTCTCTTCTGGCCTGAAGTTTCTTGTGGATAAGATGACTCCCATTTCTGCTGCCCACGAGATAAGCGTGACGGCGCTGAAGTGAATACGGCAGCGCCCTTTGGTTCTAAAACGCCCACACCCTGCCCTTCACGGACCCAGTTGGGAATGGGCTGGTGCCTGTAGCACACAAAGCGTGGCCCACATCTCCTTTGCAGCGGAGGCTCCCGCTCCCCCTCGATTGCGTGAGCTCTCGTTACACGGCAGGCCACAGTCTCCCTTATGCTCAATTGGTAGGCCCCCTTGCTTTCTTCTGCGTGGTCAAGCCACGTTCCCCTTTGACCCTGGGACTTAAGCCATACAGCACAAACTTGTTTGCCGTTGTTTCCTGCTGCATGTTAATTTCAGACAGTGCTGGAGAATCTGGATTCTGTTTCCTGCCTCTGTCCTTGACTTGCTGTGCAACTGCACCACAGTCCTGCTTCCCTTCCTCACGGGGATTGTGAGCGTTTGCTACTGGCAAGTGTGTGGTGGTCTTACTGCTTATGGAAGCCTTGCCGCACGTCCGTGGCAGTGCAGTAACAGGTTCCCAGGGCATTGTAAAGAGTTAACCGTTTATAGTGAGTGTTGGGTGTGCATGGCTCTTTGCAAGCTAAAAGAGCAAGGTCCATGCACGCAGGCTCTGAGAATAGAGCCTGAAATGGACTTCTGTTACATAGGGGAGGGAAGTCGTTTCCTTGAGCACTGAAGGCAAATGTCAGCAAGATTTAACAGGTGAAAAGGGGAGGCTTTGTAAAGAGAATGCCCCCATGAACTCTCAGAGGGTTGCCCTGGAGAACTTGGGTGACTGAGTTGAGGCTGGATTATGCAGCCTTTTGGAGGAACAAAACCAACATGGCTTACGAGAAACCTTTTGGTCTCCTAGTTACAGAACACACAAGTGCAAACTGGCTATTTTGCTTCCCCCTTTGCCAGTACAAGTAGCCTCTACTTTTTATTTTGGGCCTTCCCTGTTCCCTAACTTAATAACTAGGCAAAGAGTGCACAGGCCTTAAGGTGGTTCTGGGGTCTCCTAGCCTCTCCCATTCAGTTCCCAGCCTGGCTTAATCAGTGTGTGATTGCTAGAGTTGTATTGTAAGGCAGCCTCTGTGCTACGTCTAATGCAGTTTGCCCAGCCACTGAGCTCACCGTGGAGCCAGCCTTTTAAAAAGAATGTACACTTCCTGCAAATGGCCCAGAACGTCCTTAGAGAAATGCCAGAAAAACTAGTTAGAACTCAAGGATGGGTCGAGGCAGCCCAGGACAGATGCGGGTACTTGAACCATCTCTGCGTGCTGGGCCCATACTGAGGGCATGCCCCTGGAATGGCAAACCATTTGAAAATGGCACTTGGAATGTCTTCCCAGGATGCTAGCGGCCACGGTCGCGGTCCTTCCCCAGAACAGACAGTTGCTCTGGCATCCAGGCCCTTAGTACATGTTGGTGCGTTGTGCTTTAAGTAGCGATGTTAAGTATCAACTGATTGACTAATCGAATAGTCGATGCATTTTGATTAGTCAAGAGGGCGCCTCCGCCTTTGAAGTATAGTAACAGCCCTAGGACTGTAGCCACACAGAGCCCAGGGTACGCTGGGGAGACCCCGGCTGGCCCTGGCCTGCATGTGGCATTTCAGAGCAGCAGCACCATGTGGAGCCCGGGGTGTGGCCCCGGTCTCCAAGCAGCACTGCTGCTTTAAAGTATCCCCTCCTCTTCCCCCCTCCCTCCCCCCCTTTGCTGCCTCTTTCTGATAGAGGCAGCAAGAGTGGGGGAAGCGACTGTTGACTAGCCTGTCGACTAGCCGATAAGCAGGGCTCGACAAACTGCGGCGAGAGCTACTCGCCAGCCTGGCAGAGCTGGTGAATGGGGGCGCGCAGAGCAACCGGCTGAAATCTACGCACCATGGGCGAGTAGAAACAGTTTGTCGAGCCCTGCTGATAAGCATTTGCTCGTTGGATAGTCACTAGTCCTCACATCCCTCAGGCTCCTGAGCTGGCAATATAATGGAAGTCATTCCTGGTGAAGGGGAGAGGCCAGAGAACCGGTTGCTGAGAGGCGGGATCTTATCACCCGTGTTCAAGACGGGTTCCAACAGGTCCAGTCTCCGCCTGCGAGATGGGAGTAGATGGGGCTAGCGCAGAAGCCAGTTGCTGGTTTGTGGAGGGGGTGTGGCTTCCTGGGATGCAAGCGCCTGTCACCTTGTGTAGTGAGCTGGGAACCAGATGACAGCGGTTGTTCCAACTGGCACATGAGGTCTGGTGTGACACTTCCATGCCCTGGGCTATTCTGAGGGTGTTGGCTGGAAGGTGGCACTAAAGCAAAGCAGAGCACGAGAGAATATAAGCCAAGAGGCGCTGACCTTACGACAGACAGACCCTTCCTCCTCCTCCTGGCTCCTACCCCTGCTGTTGGGAGCCGATGTCGTGCCTGTATTCCCAGTCTCATGGAAAGATGTTTCCTCCTTGTCTTTGGTGTGCAGAGTTCCTTGGCCTTCTGCAGGCTCGCTTTCCAGCTCTGCCCCAGGTCTGCTTGTCAGTACCCAAGTGGGGTCTAGCGCTGCTTTCTGCGTGGCCCATGCCACCCAGCCACACAGCCATGCCAGATCGCCTTCTGCTACTGTGCTGTGATGCACGGGGGCACGAGCCACCAGCTTAACACAACTGGACACGTGTCGCTCGCCTGGGTATTGGCTAAAGGGCAAAGTAGTGGAGGTAGCTGGCCAGCTTTTGGGCACAACACAAGCAAGGTGGCGATTACTCTTACCCCTTATCTGGGAGAGCAGCTGGCAGAGCTGCAGAGCGCCACAGCAGCAATGAAAGCAAGCGGTGTAGGGAGGCCAGGGTCTGAGACGCACAGGGAAGCTCTCTGCAGTGGTGAGCAACTTGTGAGTCGTAGGCTACTGCATGTGGCCTGTGCCTGCAAGGCTGCCAGATTCTGCTGGTTTCCCCCAGGTTAGGTTTTTCCTACCGGTATTGCTAAAGTAATGCTCTTACAAAGCCAAGGCGTGTGCACTGGGGTGCATGCCTGTTGCATGCACCGCTGCCTGGAAGAGCCGTGAGCTCCCATCAGTGCTGGGGGGTTCCATCGACCCCCCCCCTAAATTCTAGGCACAAGTGCAGTTAGCAAAGCTACCTCATCACAGGAGACTCTTGGTTGTGTTGGGCTTGTTGGCCACGGAGGATGAGGGTCACTAGCCTACACTGCCCGTCCCTGGCTCTGTGCAGCCTTTCCTAGGAACTCAAGTGAAGCCATGAGTGGTAGACCAGAAACTGCTTCGAACCTGCCTCGGGTGCCCCTCACGCCTGCCCCAGCTGCTCTTTCTAACCCTTGTTCCTAGTGCGATTGGAGAGAAACTGGAGCTATTCAGTCTGCAGTAACTGCCTGTGCCAGCGCAGCGGGCCCAACATGTGGAGGAGCATCGTTTCCGGGCAGAAGATCCGCCATGTAGGTCTCACAATGGCCTGCACACTTGAGTTCCTACCCAATAGAAAGGGGTGGGGGTGACTCATTCCAAGACTTCTCTTTGCGTCCAAGGGCTGTTGCCAGCTCTTTGTTTTATTCTGCTGTTCTCCAGAAATCCAGCCCTTCTGGGAAGTGATTTGAAACACTTAAGCACATGAGACTTCCAAGAATAAAAAGAAAACGACGGATTCTCCTTCCTCTGTTAAACTGTCTGTATTTGAGTTAGCCGTGTATAAGAATTCAGAGGCGCACACGAGTTTTAACCCTCTGCACTCGGTTCGTGATTCAAACGCTGATAGCTGGAAAACCAACTGCTGCCATTCCAAGCTGTATGACGGGGGCACCTGAGGACATGGGCACTGACCCCCTCTCTTCTACAGGGCTGTTGTGCTGCTGCTCGTTTTAGAAGGCACTAACCATGCTGTGCCTGCAAATACAGCTGCTTTGTAGCTACACCGGCTCTGCTGCAGCATACCACAGGTGGCAGCCTCGCTCCAGGCCAGAGAGAGGTGGCAGCTTGGTAGTTGGGAGACTAGAAGAAACTCATCCCTGGAATGAGTTTCCAGCTGCTTCTGTTTTCCTTTGAGAGCTGTGACTGGGAGGCTAATGTAGGTCGGAAAAAACAGAAGGGAAGCTTGGTCTTGTGGCCTAGCACCGGACTGGGACTTGGGACTTGGGAGCATTGGGTTCTGCCTCAGCTTCCCCAGTGTCTTTGGGAAACTGAGGCACAGCAAAAGGTGAATGATGGTGCAAGATGGAGGCCGCTGTAAGCTCAGCAGGGAAGGGAGCCAGCTTGTGCAGGGTCTGCCACAATGGAGTCTCTAGGCTTTCCCGTTCGACAAGGACCGTGGCGCTGCTCACCGCAGAGTCTGGATGCTGGAGCTGTTAGCCCCTGAGTGACTCCATCTCTTGTTTCCTTGCAGAGACTTCCTTCCCCGTGGGTCCGGAATCGTCACCCGGCGGCCTCTTATTCTTCAGCTGATCTTCTCCAAAACAGGTACTGTCCAGGGCTCAGTAGCTCCTTGTGGCTGGGGGTCGAGGGCGGCCAAAGCTGGGGGACCAGTCTCACACCCTGCATGCTGCAGAACAGGGAAGGCACAGATGTATGCGGCTGTCAGTCTGCGTCCCTTGCTGCCTTTCCGATGGCGGGAGCTGCGCTGGCTCTTGGCTGCTTGGGGAACGTGGTCTGTAAACTGCTGGAAGGTGCCTGTACTGCTCAGGAGATGGGAGCCGCCTTGAGCGCGGCGGTGAGATGTGTAACTTGGCGGGAGTCCTGTCACTGCAGCAGCACGTGTACGGTTGGTGTAGCTCCCTGGGTGGAAACTGCGGGCAGATTGTTTCTGTATTAGTCTGTCAGTCGACACTGCAAGCTAAGCAGGACAGTTCAGCCTTGTGACTGGGCTCTAATTTGTTGTGGACGGGTCCAGGCCTTCGCTCATACAGCTCTGGCCGTTTGCCGGGGGTTAGATGAGCACAGGGCTCTAGCCTAAAATCTCTGAAGGGTTGACAACCCGCTGGAGACCCAAGCTGTTCTCAGGATTTCAGTAGGTGCGAGGGGAGGGGACAAACTGACTTTGGGTCTGGGCAGAGGTCCTGGCACTGCAGGCAGTTACCTGCTCCTCGTTAGTCTGCGTTTTCCTCTGTCCCTGGCCTCGGCCCTTCCTGGTCCCGCAGCCTCGCTGACGTCCCTTCTTCAGAGCAGGTGATCAGGGCGCATGTAAGGGGCCAAATGGAGCTGTCAGACCGAGCTCCCTGCTGGGAACTCTGCTGTGTCAATGAACAAGACAGGGAGTTGCTGCTTTACCAGCCTGGTACTTCAGAGGGGGGCTGATTGGCTGCGCCAGGCCGTGATGGCAGAGGCACTGCCGCATCCTAGCTCTTCTTGCGTGATCCCGAGTGCTTAGTGAGCCCAACGCATGGGACTGCCCCGTTCTCCTGGGGTGGGGGGGTATGATCTTAGGCCAGGGTTTTATAAGCCAGTCTGTTCTGCGAAGAGCTAAAGCAGCTCTGTCTCCTCCTGCTGCGTGGACTGTTCCTTGGTTGTGTGATAACAGGCCTTGGTGCTGCGTCCTGGCTCTCTGCTAGGGATGGGAAATCCCGTTGAATTGGCTAACGTTGTTTAACAGACTGCAGGGGAGGGTGGGCAGGAGCAGGCTGCAGTGGCCTCTCCCCACGGGCAGGCATTACATCAGCTGGGTCGGAACAGCCCCTGCCTGGGGGGCACCCGGGCAGAGCAGGCCCCTACCCCAGCCCCTACTGGTTAAACATTCAGCCCCCTACTCTTGGCCCGGCATAGTGATGGTGGTAAATGCGGGAAGGCTGAAAAGCCGCTGCACACCTCTCACCTGAGCCCACGCTCCACATGTCAGCGGCCTGATCTCGGGGCGGCTCTCTTGTTCCCTTCCCTGGAGTGCGGAGTCCCTTGCTTTGCCCTCTTGCCGGGAGGGCTGGGCCTCTGCTGCTTGTGCCTGGGTCGGATCCAGCCCAGCATGCTCCCTGGCTGCCCCGCCACCGCACGCTGCTCAGAGCAGCTTTCTGGATGCTGCGAGCCTGGGGACCCTCTGCCCCCGGCTCAGCCTTGCAGCTCGCAATGGCCCATGTGCAGAGTGCCCCTCCCCCAATGGGCTCGCACGCGTGGCCCCCACCTCGCTGCGGAACCTGCTGGGGAGGGCTGCTGGCTGGGAGCCACCCAAGTAAGAGCCTCCTGGCCAGAGCCAGCCTGCCTCTGGCACCCCAGCCCCTCCCCCAACCCTTCCTGCACTTTCACCTTGTGTAGAAGCTGCTGCCCCTTGCTCCTGCACCCAGACCCTGCACCCCTCCCTTCCAGACCTTGCACCCCAACCCCTGCCCTGCCACAGTTCAAATTCCTGCACCCCCTCCTGCCCCAGATCGCAGCCCCGCTCCCGGACCCTGCACCCCTCGTACGCCTTCTCCCCTCCCAGAGCCTGCCCCCTCGTCTCCTGCCCTTACCCCAAGCTCGATCCCAGACCCTGCACCTCCTCCATTAATACCATGGAAGAGTTGGGCCCGTGGAGCGGCCCGTCATCAGGAACGATTGCCTGCCCCCGTCTACAGTCGTGCGTGACGGTGGCCAGCCTAGGTCCTGGGGCGATAGTGTCAGATGGGACTTCCCTATTGAATGCAAGATGGATGAGCTCTTTGGCGTGAGCACTTCCCATGCAGCGCTCTGCGGGAAGCGGGGGACCAGCCTCCCCATTGCCCCCGCCAGCGCCCAGGGAGCGGTAGCTCCTCGGGGTCTGATCTGCAGCTGAAGTGCTGCTAGCCCACCAGGCACGGTATGGAAAGCGGCTGCTCCCCAGTGTGATTGCAGCACTGAAACACGTAGCGAGCAGCCAGCGAGCGCTCTGTCCCACAGGCACCGCGCTTGCAGGGCGTCAGTCACGCGGCTGCTTGGCTTGTCAAAGTGCCGCTCCTCTGACAGCTGTCGCTGGAGAGGTACCTAGATGTGTGTGTCGGAGAGATGCTGCTCGGCCACCCCCTCACGCAGCCGGGGGCTCAGGGCGGGACTGCGCAGCTCTCAGGGCTGCTCCACGTTGACTGGGGCAGAAGGTGCTTGGCCAGTTGGCTTGGTGAGTGGTTCCGGGTAAACTCCCTTAAGAGAAGGGACCTGGGAACATGTGCCCTGGTTCTGGAGAATAACCTTAGTGCCTTTGTCCTACGCTCTTGGAGAGCAGTGCTCATGCTGTCTACCCCCAGCTCCTCTCTGCTGCTGCTTTCCCCCACCACGACAGGCGCTCGCTCCCAGGCCCTCGGCAGCATCTCCAGGAGCTAGCTGGCCCCCGAGACAGAACCAGCTCCAGGGCCTTGGGAGCAGGGAGGGGCTGTTCCCAGCCAGGCCTGGGCTGACGGGATCCCAGAGGGGGCGAGCAGGTGGGGTCGGTCGGTGCTGCTCTGGCACACTGCTGGGTCCTACGTGACAGTCAGTGGCCATTGACTTCAATGGGTTTTGAATCCGAGCCCTAAACTCGGGGTTCTGTCTGAGCCCCTCCCCCAACATGCTGAACTCCACGGCCCAGCTGCACCGGCTCTGCTGTCCTGCCGGCACTGGGGTTAGCAGGCAGGGCAGCTGCAGGGCCCCGCAAAGCTGAGCTGCTTGAGCTGTGGCTGCAGCCCCACGTGGCGGGGCCCTGGGCCGCAGCCCTGTGCGGTGAGCTCTGGCTCTCTGCCCTGGGCCCTGGCGAATCTAAGGCCCCTGAAACCTGCTTGGGGTCCCCGAGGGGTCCCGGACCACTGATCTCGCCCTTAGCCCCGGCAGGCCCCTAGCAGGGGTTTGAAATAGACCAGAGTTCCCTGGTTGGTGCTCGCTGCCTTGTGTGCTTCCAGGTGTGCCGGCCGCCGTCGGGCTCAGCCCTGCCGAGCCAGGAATGTGGCAGGGTTAATATTTAAGCACGCTCGCCGCAGTACCATTGCTTGCGGGTGGAAGGGCGCTGCCAAGCTCTCCACCGCCCACGGCCCGAGTCAGGGCTCCTTGTGAGCCGCCTGCCCTCTGAGCACAGGTCTTGGCTGATGGAAGATCCCTTCCCTGTGGCCGAGGCAGCCCAGCTGGGCAGCATGCTGTGCTGCTCAGTGACAGGATTGCGGTGCCAGTGCTGCCTGGCGTACAGAACAGGGCGACGTTCGCCCCCATCCCTCTGGCCTTCCTCTGCCGGGCTGGGGACTGCCGCTCCGTCTGGGACAGGCTGGTGCAAGCAACAGAGCTGGGGTTACAGGTTGCGGTGCTGCACGTGGCCTTTGGACATGGTGCCTCAGCAGTTCTGGGCCTGCTCTCGGGCCCTGACGGAGGGCCTGTGTAAGGCCTCTTCCTGACTATTGCCCTGGGTAGGAAACGCCCTCCCACAGCCCACCCCCCTCAATTGCCAGCCCTGAGCCCCCCAGAGCTTTACCCTGCACCCTCCACAGACGCTCGTCTGCAGGGCTGCGTCTGATGGCTGGTTCAAATTGCAGTCTGGATTTCGGACGTGGTGCGGTCAGTGTCGCTCACAAGCAGGGAAATCCCAGCATGTGCCACATAACGCAAAGATCAAGCACTTCATGTGCGAACTGTTTCTGCATTTCCTGGGCTGCACTTCACTTCAAAACATGATCGGCTTCCAGAGACGGGAGAGCACTGGCAGGGGAAAGCTGAGTGCGCGCCCCCCCCCCCTCGCACGGTGAGGGCCGGGGGAATGCTGTGGGCAGGGGTGGCTGTTCATGCTGTAGGGGGAGTTGGGTTTAAACAGTCATCTTGGCACAGGGGTGAGGAATCTTCTGGTTGGGGGCTGCTGACCCACAGAAAAATCAGTCAGGCGGGGTCAGCGCAGGCTGGAGAGCCAGCACGGGCTCCCCAATGCTGGGGGGAGCCCAGAGCTCCGCGGGCTGGATCCAGGCAAGCCGGGGGACACATCTGGCTCCTGGGCCTTAGGTTCCTCACCCCTGGCTTAGAACTTCTCTGGTCTGTTATCCAGGGGGTCAGAGTGGGTCACAATAGTCCCTTCGGGCCTGGGAATCGGTGACCCGGGCTGTAAGTCTGTTGCATATGTGCGTGTATTGGTGGCAGAGCTAGACGTGTGTGAGGTGCTACTGTGCCTGTTTCTCTGTGGGGGTGGGGACGGCACCCACCTCCCTACTAGCAGTGCCCAGGGCTGGTGATTAACGCCGGCAGCACCAGGCCATGCAGGGCTGATGGCAGTGACTCCTGCAATACTGAGAGATACCTGGATGGGAACATGCCGCTGTCTCTACTCCAAGGGCTCTGCTGGGGCAGTCGCGCCCCTCCTGTGGGCCATGCTGCGGTTGGCTTCCTCCCCGGCCGCAGGAGCCGTTCGGAGGTAGCCAGTGGGTGCCCTGGCAGGCTAGACTCAGCCCTGCCTTCAGGGCTCAGAACCCGGCACTGCGGTGCTACAAACGAGGGGCGGGGGAGGCCAGCAGGCCGGGATGTCAATCTGTCTAGGCTGGAACCAACATGCACGTGCCACGTCTCCCCCCGCCGGCGCTTCCCTCTGGTGCAGGACACCACGACTCACGTCTGCAGCGGGTCTAGAGCTGCCCTGCTCCATCCGCCTCGGCCGAGGGGATTGCTAGGCTGGCTTCATCGCCAGTTAGCAGCCTCCCCAAAAGCACCTGGCTGCTCTCTTGGGCGCCGGCTTTCCCCGCATGGCTGCATGCCCCTCTGGCTCTGCGCCACTTCCTCATTCCGCCCCTGGGTGTCCAGGAGCCACGCTCAAGTCATGCCCGGAGCTTACGCCAGGCGAACGGAGACAAGCTTGGGCCCTCTGCTGGGGTGCAGGCGCAATGGGGTGAGCCTCTGCTGGGCGCAATGCAGCTTGTGGGCGCCGGGATCCCCTCTGCTCCAGGGCGGCTTTGCTTCTCAATAGGCCTTGTGGGTCTCGTGCACTGCAGAGCACGGGGGGACTCGAGGCGCGTTGCAGTCTCCTAGAACAGCACGGCTCACGCTCACGGCGGCAGCTGCCTAGCTTCTGAGTGAGCAGCAGGCAGAGCCGAGGCTGGGCCCTGTATCGGATCTCAGGCAGGTGAATGCTACAGCCTGGCTCTGGAGGGGAGGGGAGGGGCGTTGTGTCTCTGCTCACGTCCAGCCCCTCTCCAGGCATGCTGACTGTGCAGCCCTAGGACGCGGGGGCCCTGCGTGAAGGCTTAGCTGAATGCTGGGGCAAGGAGCAAAGGGAGCTTGTAGGAAGAGGGTAAGGAACGGGCTGGCTGGCTGCAGCAGTGAGCGAAGGGCTGAAGCCCTGTTCTGAGAGGCTCTGCTCCGGCCCCCTGTGGTAGCCGTTGGAAGAGCACTGAAATGCTGGCACTGTGCTGGTGATATGAGAGAGGCCTATGAAGTGAAGGGTGGGGAGAAAGTCAACAAGGAAGTGGAACTTGCGCTCTCAAACACCAGAACTAGGGGTCACCAAATGAAATGACTAGGCTGCATGTTGAAAGGCAGTATTTCTGCACACAACCTGTGGAACTCCTTGCCAGAGGGTGTTGTCAAGGCCAAAGCTATCACAGGGTTCAAAAAGAACTAGCTCAGTCCATGGATGGCAGGTCCATCAATGGCTATTAGCCAGGCTGGTGTCCCTAGCTTCCTTGCCCCTGGGGGGCACCTGGCATTGGTCACTGATGGGAGACAGGACACTGGGCTAGATGGACCTTTGTCTGATCCAGTCAGGCTGTTCTCCTGTTCCGCCTGTCCAGACAGCACTGAGGTAGCTCATGACTTGCGCACCTGCAAGGGTGGTGCTCCTGAGAGGGGTGGGTGAATGTCGTGGGGGCTTTGAGCCTCTAGCGATCCTTGCTCCTGATTGGCCTGGCTCTCCAGCCTGCGTGCCCCCATCCGAATGCCATCGTGCTCAAGGAGTAGTGGGACTTCCTGCCGGCGTTCTGCACCAGCCTCTCGTTGGGGTGTAGCCGGGGTCCTGCAGAGCTGATGCTGCATTGCTGAGGTTCGGAGGGCGAGGGCCTGGGTCTGTTTACACTGGTTCAGAGGCTGGGGGGCTAGTCAGAAATCGGTTTGTTTCATTATAGACCCTGGGGGCGGGGGTCTCTTTTCCAGAATATGCGGAGTTTTTGCACTGCAAATCCAAAAAGTTCACGGATTTTGACGAGGTTCGGCAGGAGATCGAAGCAGAGACGGACCGGGTCACGGGAAGCAATAAAGGGATCTCACCGATTCCCATCAACCTGAGGGTGTATTCACCACACGGTGAGTGAGACTTGCATGCTGACGGGAGTGTCAGCGGGCTTCTAGAGGCGGGTGTGGACACTTCAGTGGATGGGAAGGAAGCAACCCAGAGGGCAGTTTGACGGTCCCAAGAGACCAGGCTCTGTTCCTGAGTAGCAAGGATGTAGAGAGGCCAAACAAGCTTCTAGCTGATCCTCTGTGCCCTGCCCTCGCCCATGCACTGCGGGATAGAGGGTTTTGAGTCCCCTCACTGCATGAGTTCTCCGCTTCCCTCCCTCCGCAGTGCTGAACCTGACGCTGATCGACCTCCCGGGCATCACCAAGGTGCCCGTGGGAGACCAGCCGCAGGACATCGAGTACCAGATCAAGGATATGATCCTGCAGTTCATCAGCCGGGAAAGCAGCCTGATTCTTGCTGTGACTCCCGCCAACATGGATCTGGCAAACTCGGATGCTCTCAAGATGGCTAAGGAAGTAGATCCTCAAGGTAAAACCAGCGCGCCTGCTGGCTGCAGTAAGAGCTGCTGCAGGACCCTGTAACAAAGGGAGGGAGATGGGGGTTCCCAGGGGTTCCCAGGTGCCCTGGTGTGCAGCTCCCCCTGCCGTGGGGAACCCGGCTAGCTCTGCCCAGGGGAGCCGAGCCAAGGCTCTTCTCGGAGCAGTGGGCTGGATTTTGTATGGAACGTGACTGATGGGGCGCAGGGCCCAGGCTACGCGATTCCAGTGGGGCGGAGCTGGGGTTCCGCTTGGAGGGAAGTCCTGGTGCGCTCAGTCTGGAGAGGAGATGCCTGAGAGCGGTTTTCAGGTCTCTAAATGGTGTCAAAGGAGGAGGGAGACAAATTGTTCCCCTTGGCCTCTGAGGACAGGACGAGATGCAAGGGGCTTAAACTGCAGCCAGGGAGGTTTGGGCTGGACAGTAGGAAAAACGTCCTGCCTGTCTGGGGGTGACACACTGAATAAGTTGCATGGGGGGTTGTGGAATCCCCCTCACTGGAGATATTGAAGAGCAGACGCCTGGCAGGGATGGGCTAGCTGGTGCTTTGTCCTGCCGTGACGGCAGGGGACTTGAGGTCCCTTCCAGTGCTAGTGTTCTAGGATTCTCCTGCCCCCATTAAGGGTGGTGGTTGCTGCTCCCGGCAGCCTGCCTGCTGCCAACCCCCTGCCCCCAACTCTCCTGTCCTGGGACTTCCGGGAGGCGTGTGCTTCTCTCCCATGGCCCTGCAGGCAGACTCCCGAAGTGACCTCTTGGCTGTCAGCCAAGCAAGCCTTTACTAAAAGGTGTGACTCCTGTTGCTCTGGCTGCTGCACTCCTTAGTCCCCAGCTCCTCTCGCCTCCGAGCCAGCTGGGAACGCAGACTGGAGCCGAAGTGCTGCAGGTGGAAGGGAGGGTGATGGCTCCTGGTTACAGAAACCAGGAGCCCCTGTGTCTGCATGTCGACCTGCAGGCCTGGCCGGAGGGATGTGGGGTTGATTAGCTGCTTCTCCAATGATCTTTCTACCCCAGGCCTCCGAACAATTGGTGTGATCACCAAACTCGACCTGATGGACGAAGGCACGGACGCCAGAGATGTCCTGGAAAACAAACTGCTCCCTTTAAGAAGAGGTAGAATGCCACCACCCTCCGTGCCCCACTCCTCCCTTTCGCTGCCCACTGGAGCCCCGAGTCCCAGCGCTCTGCTTGGTACCTGCCAGCAGGGGGTGCCCTAGGGCAGGCAGTATAAAGTTCACACTCATAAGAACGGCCATACTGGGTCAGATCAAAGGCCCGTCTAGCCCAGTATCCTGTCTGCCGACAGTGGCCAGCACCAGGTGCCCCAGAGAGGGTGGACCGAAGACCATGATCAAGCGATTTGTCTCCTGCCATCCCTCTCCAGCCTCTGACAAACGGAGGCCAGGGGCACCGTTCCTACCCCCTGGCTAATGGCCTTTTCTGACCTAACCTCCATGAAATAACCCTATGAGCCCAGGGTCCCGTGCGGGGGGCATGAGAGTTCAAGGCTTGTGCTGCAGCTGGATCCTGCGCTGACAGAGCTGGCCTGTGGCATTGTCCCGTTTCAGGCTATATCGGCGTGGTTAACCGGAGCCAGAAGGATATAGAAGGCAAGAAGGACATCAGAGCAGCGTTGGCTGCAGAACGCAAGTTCTTCCTTTCTCACCCAGCCTACAGGCACATGGCAGATCGCATGGGCACGCCTCACTTGCAGAAAGTCCTCAACCAGGTAGGCCAGTGTCATGCGTGGGCCCTGTTCCCGGCTTGGAGGGAAGGGCCGCTGACTGAGTGCTCTGAGCTGTGCTGGGGAGGGTGTGGGGGGGGCTGGGGAGTTAGACTGCGTGCCCAGCCCCCACACCCTCAGTATCATCCTTGGCGAGTCAGCTCTTCCCCAGCCTTGGCCTCGCTGGCTGCAGAATGACCAACGACCATCCGCTTGTCTGAACGCTTCTCTAGCAGCGTCCTTTCCAGGCCGTGCCGGAGATGCTGGTAGCCAACAGAATGGAGGGAGAATCTCTTCTACTTGGCGCAGTTAGCCCCCGCTGAGCGGTCAGTTGACAGGATAGGGGCAATACCCAGCTGCCCTCGTTCGGTGAGAAGGCAAAATTCGTTAAAACTGGGAAGTCTGACTTGGCGAGCTGGGCCAGGCTGCTCCGAAGTCTTGGAAATTGCTGTGTCTCTTTAAAGGAACAGCAGCGGGCCTGGGCTGACTCCGTGTGGCTCTTGTAGAGTGGCCAGTTAAGGGAAGCATTCCACTAGCCCCCTCTCGCGCAGTGTTGGCTCTGGCCTCTGGCTCGCCTGTGCGGCCTCAAACGCAGCTTGTAGTGAGGGGTGGGGGGCCAGCCACACTGACCGCTTCTTACCCTCGCAGCAACTGACCAACCACATCAGGGAGACCCTGCCCTCGCTGCGCAGCAAGCTGCAGAGCCAGCTGCTCTCGCTGGAGAAGGAAGTGGAGGAATACAAGAACTTCCGCCCTGACGACCCCACGCGGAAAACCAAGGCCTTGCTGCAGTAGGTTGCTCCCATCCCCTCTTGAGAGGCCAGGCACTGGATTTGGCCCCCGTGGGGAGGGAGAGCAAGTGTCTAGCCTGAAATGGACACTGGTGTGAACGTGGCTCCACCCTGGAGCACTCGGATACCAGCTGGTCGCTGACCCTGAGGGAAGAGTGCCCAGCTCCCGGTGTTGGCAATTGGCAGTGTGAAGCAGGAGATGCCACTCGGTGTCCCGTGGACTAGGGCTATTGGCGTTTGCTGATCAGTCAACTAGTGACTCAACTAGCTGCCCCCCCGCTTGCTGTCTGGATCAGAGGCAGCAAGGGTGGCAGGGAGCAGGAGCTGGAGGGAGCCATCTTAACAGCACCATCTCCACGGGGCGGGGGGCCGGCAGCCCCCGGGGCACGTG